GCCCAAAAGGTACATTCCCCCTATAAAAGGGGACCAAGGTACCTCATTCTCTCATTCTCTATTGATTCCATACTACACACTCTCTCTCTCTCTCTTGATCTGAGCACTGACTTAGGCATCGGAAGCCCGACGCCGGGGCCATCCCCGGTGTTGGGTTCTGCAGGTACGGAGGCCGTTCGAGTTGAAGGAGCCCAAGTGAAACTTATTCACTTCAGTTACCCTTGCGAGGTAAGTCTCCGTAAGACCTAATGGAAGGTCGTGTCTTGTTGTATGGCACGTACCCCCATGAGTTAGGGGTAATGAATCCCCTTTTCGTGGCTAATGAAAGATGTGTACATGTGGGTAATATGTTGTGATGTGATTAGGAGACGTGACAGAATAATTGATTTATGTTCATGCTGCGACCATACCTCCTTTACATTATTTATTATTGTGTTATACGTGCATAGTGGTGAGCACTCATTTTTATCTTGTGCTCATCCCTACCTGCTCTTCATGGATGCAGGTTAAGCAGGTGCCGGGTGACGAGGAAAGACGAGTGGGTCGGTCTTATGATTATGATTATTTATGCTTCCGCATATGAATAAATGTTTTAGTGTTTGGAACCTTGTTTTGGGTTAAGACATGAAAATTGTTTTGAAAACTCCTGTTTGAGTATGTTGAACTTTTGGGATGTTTTGATGAACCTAATGTGAATTGGTTATCATATGTTTGGTTATTTCATGTCTTCGTTTATGAGCTGAATAACGTATGTTGAAAATCAGGTTAATGAAAACCATGTAAAAAAACCGGGTAATGAATCCCCGAGCAACCAGATATGACTTGGTTGATGTTAAATGTTTAAATAACGCCCATGTTTTCGAAAATGAGTTCGAAAAATTATTTACTGATTTTTGGAAAGTTCGGAATTTCTTTAAAATCAAAGTGGGGTGTTACATCATGATTTCCTGGTTCCGTTCCGCAAGAAGCTTCTGAGTAGAAAATAGTTCAGATCTCAAGCATTCAATGGTCTGAGCCTTTTCCAGTCCATCTTGCTTGGCAAGCTTGACACTGCTCTCAAGGATGCTGGTTCGAGCCTTTGCAGTATCCAGTTCACAGTATTTAGCAGCAATGGAAGAGGATGCTTGTTCGTTCAACACCATGTTTGCTCTTGAAAGTCTGAATACTTCGTTTTGAAGCTTCTGTAAGGCTTCAGATGCTTGAGCACACTTTTCCATGGCAAGTAAGTGTACAAGATCAACACACACATTTTGATCTGTTTCATCTTCAGATGCTTCAATTTCTTTTAAACTTTCTTCAAACTTGGTCGGAACGTGAGAAGTGGTGTGACACATGAACTTCTTGACTGAGGTATGAATTGTCATGTTGCTCGTGTGCGAAGTAGGTTCGTTTGTGCCTTCATCATCTGAATCTTCCCAGGTTGCCTTCAAAAACTTGTTCTTCTTCTCAAGGTTAGCACACTGATACTGAAAGTGTCCAAAGCCTCGACACTCCCTGCATTGATCCTTCTCAACTCGTTGTGATTCGGGTTTTGAGAGAGACATACTACTTTTCTTGTCCTGCACTACATTCTTGCTGAAATTGTTGCCCTTTTTTCCAGCAAATTTATTCTTGTACAGCCTTTGACTCAACTTTCCATAGTTTCGCGCAATTAGCGCTAGTGCTTCTTTTAGCTCACTGTCATCTGCCAACGGACCTTCATCGTCATCGCTTTCTTCTGTCTCCTCGACTACAACAGCTTTGAGAGCTAAGCTCTTACTTTTGACTTTGTCATAATTGTTGTAATTCAAACGTTATGAGCTTTTCAAGAAGTTCATCAACATCCAGAGACGCCACCTTTGGAAACTCTCAAGAGCTGTGATTTTCTCTCTAAACCTGGGAACGACGGTTCTCATGATCTTTTGCACTTGACGCTTCTCAGAAATTTCTTCTCCAAGCATCATACTTTGATTTACCAAATCACAGAATCTGGCATAGTATACATCAATTGTCTCTTCATCTCTCATTTTGATCTCATCAAATTCAAGAGTTACCCGTTGAAGTCTGGATGCTTTGACAGCCGTTGAACATTCGAATTGACAGTGTAGAACCCGCCAAGCATCTTTCGCAGTCCTACAATGAACTATCATCTTGTGTCTTATTTGATCTACTGCCATCATGATCGCATACAAGACACGATAGTTGGCTTCTTCTTGAAGCTTCTCAACATCTGTCCAATTGTCTTTAGGTTTTGGAACGATGACTGTCGTAGCTCCTTTTCCTTGATCGGGTGATTGTGACGTGACTGGATGCTCCCAACTATTTTAAACACTTTCCCACACACCTTTTCCAAGCGATCTTAGGAAAATTTTCATCATAGACTTCCAATACGAGTAATTTGAACCGTCCAGTTGCGGAGGCCTAGACATCGATCCACTTTCTTGATTCATGATTGCCCAGTAACCCAAGTCCTCTGATCTTTTCGTAATGTAACAAAAACCCGCTCTGGTGCCAATTGAAATTTGATACTCGTACATCAAGTATCCAGAGTTGCACGCAAATAGAACAAACAGACAGTAATGAAGATTCAACTAGTTGCGGAAGCAGTTTTCACTAAAAAATGAACCTTCAGGAGAGTGTCCCACTCTCCCTTCAGATCTCTTTCATTAATGTGAATAACACAAAAATTATTCAAGGGTTTACAGTATAGATTCCCTCTACACTCTACTTAAATAATGATCCACACAATTACTTATCTGACCACAACTCCCTTGTGGATTTTCTAGTTCGAATCCCTCAAACTATAAGAACGAACCTCCGAACGTTCTTTTACAATGTGTTCTGCATATCTCCCTTTTTAACTCAAGAAAAGAAAAATATCAAGCTCAAATAAAATCCTGAACAAAAGTCCTCCTCAACTCTGGTCTCGTCCTCCATTTATTTTCAGCATCCTTTGGTAAGTCTTTACGCCCAAGACATATACGCATAAGGAAGGTGAATTTCGTTATCTTCTTCTTCTTCGATTATGGAAAGAAAATCTTGCCTTCAATCTTCTAGACCTGTCAAGATATCAATATAAATAATTAGTCAATTTGACTTAAATGAAAACAGGTCCCATTTATACCAAAAATAAACTTCCCTTAAATACTCCCGCATATTTCTGAACTCTGTGATCATCAGAAGGTTCATCGATTTACTGCAAATAACCAGAACTTACAATAACCTATATAACAAATAAGTATATATATATATACACACAATTTACGTCTTCATTATAATAAACCTAAAGTTGACCGGAAGCTTGCGCAAAAGATGCTTCAATTCGATAAAGGTGGATATAAAAAATTGCACAACAAAGGTTGCGAAGAAAAGGTCGGTGCAAACAGTTTCGGCAACGTCGACGAAATCCCCCAAGCAAAGAATTGAATACGGTGGAAGAAGAAGCCAGCACAAAAAAAAAAAAAAAAAAAAGTTTGACAAAGATTCTTATTTGTTGAAGAAGATGAATTTGACATGGATAAGATGAAAATTGATGAATAAGTTGTTGAAATATATAAATAAATAAAAGAATGACAAAAACGACATGAACTCAAGGAATAACGAACATCAAAATCTTGTGCAAGACAGGCGTTACTATAATTTCAATATATGTTGATTTTATAGTGAGTATATTTTTAATATATGTTGCGTTTCTATTACATAACATTCATCAACCACATTCGACTGAAAAAGAATAAAAAAATAAAAAAAAATAAATAAAAGTGTATGACAAAACCGACCATGTCAGCAATTATAAGAAAAAGAGATCAATGCTTAACAATGAGCGTCAAAATCTCGCCATGATCAACGTGCATGACGGGCATTAGAATAATTACAGTATATGTTGCTTTTATAGTAAGTATATTTTTAGTATATTTTACATTTTTATTTATATAACATTTTTTCACCCCGCCGCCGCCAATTTCTATCCAAACATCACCACCATCCCTTCCTCCATCCTCATGCATCTGCAAACTCATCAGCTACAAGAAAGGCAATAAATCCGTCGGATTGGACCGACTGAAGTCCTACTTCCACCAAGCTACCTAGACCATGACTCCTCCACCAATATCTCAGACAACCTCTTCCACAATGGCCTAAAGTCTGTCATCCGCTCTTACCGCCGCCATCTACTCATACAGGAGAGAGAGAGAGAGAGAGAGAGAGAGAGAGAGAGAGAGAGAGAGAGAGAGAGAGAGAGAGAGAGAGATTGCACTGTTTAGGGATGATTTTTCTACTTACCATCTGTAACATTCTTTTTTCTTTTTATTAATCACTAGCCATCGGATTTCAAGGGGTGAACGTTTCTTGTTTGGAAAAATATTTTAGGCAATTTTATAATAATTTGATAAGGAATCAATATTGATGCAAATTTATTTTTTCTCAACCGTAAAAGTTCAATGAATTTCAATTACGATAGGATGTATGTAAAATGAGCCTCTTTCCTCTATAATTCGATAAAATTAATCAGTACATTTCTTAACAAAGTTCTCCATTCAACTTGGTTTGGTCCAACCTTTAGATAAAAGATCTAGATTTCATCTTGCAAACAAATCACACATTCCATTTGCTAGTCTCACAAACGCATATGAATCTCATTCCAACCATCATCCACATCTACTTTTCTTTCCCACTTCTTTCCCACTACACAGACGCCACAGAGCAAAATGGGAAAAAAAACGCTACCAAGAAAAAAACTAAGGAAAAGCAACACCTTCACAAATAAATTACAGCATTCACATCTCCACGAAAGTAAGGTTACTACTGATGATTAAATCCAAAACCACGTCATCATCTCAAGCTCGTAAATGGTACCCCTGGCAAGCTAAAAACGAGGGATAACATCTTTCACCAAGAACAATCGATTAAGGAGCTTGTTGAGTCTTATTTCCCCTCCATTATCTGCAATGGCCTTCTGCAGGATCAAGATCAACAGAAGGAACCCACCTTTCATTCGAGCTTTTATTCCAATTTCCAACCACTTAATGACCTAGCTTGCGCTTCTTAGCCAACCTCCTCCTTCTTTCCTCTTCCTCGAGCCGGAGCTCTTCTTCGTCCTCTCTTCGAGCGATTTTTGCACTGGACAGTGCGTGCACACACAGTAGGTCAATATTAATGTATGGTTAACATAATGTATCAAATACTAACAATAACTTCCACCAACTATATCATTCACAAGTACTTAACAATCAAACGAACATATAATGATTTCATACCACGGGAGAAGGTTATTAATGAAAGAAACAATCGCAGATACAATCATAATTTCAAATTCTCATTGTTTTTCCTACTGTGCTTTAGTTCCCAAACAGATAAGTGAACATAACATGTTCTCACATGATTCACAGATGAAAAGCAGAAAACATAACACAAAAAAACATATTGTTAGTCCAACAAAATATTCAGTTGAGCTGACCTGCGTCTTTCCTCCCTCATAACATCTTCAAAATTGGACTGCATGTTACTATCATCATCGTCGTCACGGAACCGACTTGGATCATACCTACCAGGCCCATAAATAATGAGAACGGCAAAAAAATCAGGAAAGTAGACCATGAAGCACTGACTACATTTTTGCTATGATTACGAATAGGATGAGTAAAATGCAAATCACAAGGAATAAAAAAAGAAGAGACGAAGTATCTATGGTACCCGAACATTGATCTGATAATATTTACATATCCACCAGCTTCATCATTGAGTGGCCTCTTAGGTTTCACCTTCGGTCTTTCATCTGCTAAACTATGACGAACAGGCGCCTTGGGAGGTCGTCTAAACTGCCAAAACCATACAATTTAAACTAAAAAAAGGCAACTCAAATTGAAAAGTGAACTTATTAATATAATTATGGGTGCAAATTATAGATTCTACACTGCCTCACACCTGATCTCCAGAGGAAGATGCCGCCTGCTTTGTCATCACCATCGGCTTGCTAGATCCTCGATACTCCTCTTGTTGAACAGATGGTTTTCTCGTAGCTGAAGAAGGTTGAGCACGTGAAGAGACCGATTTATGGATTCCAGAATGCATATTTGAAGGCATCGGTTTACGAATAGGAGGTTGCACAGCAGAATGCGATGGCTTATGCGCACCAGCAACCGTATTATGTTTTGCAGTAGATGTGGTGGTCTTGCCAGAAGAGATAGGTGTGGGCCTTCTTGAAGGAAGGCTTTTGGGCCCAACCGGCCGCCCAGGCCCACTCCCACTATTGCTCCCTAGTTGTTTCCTAGGATCCATCGCCGGCTTGGTCGGGGGTTTCGCCCTCTCCTGCCCTACTTTAGGTTTGTTTTGGCCAATTGAAGGCAGTGGCCTCCTCACATCATGACCAATCAAGGTGGGTCCTCGACCGCGACCATCCACCACCTGCTTGTTGCTCCTGCTAGGCTGCTGTTGGGCTGAACGTGCATCTTCAGGTCCACCAAAAGCCCTGTATAAGTTCCCTTTAAGAAGAAATAAAATTGCTATGTGCTTTTAAAGAAGGCGAACCAGAAAGTATAGAGGAGAATTTGCACACCAATTTTTTGAGCCGATGATGTTTTTGGGGGACTTTTTGAGGAGGCTGGAACCTCGGCATCTTCGGATAATAAAAAAGAATAGTCTCTTGTGTTTTTAAGAATTTCAACCTTTTTCTTTAACTGCAACAATTACCAGGGCACAAGATGACACGTGAGGAGGAAAGAAATTATGATACCAATTATGAAATGCGTGAGTCAACTATACTTACCCCATTTGTTACTCTCGGCAGATGGGTTTCTCGAGATTTTGACTTGACAGGTTCTGCAGCAGAGCTCTTGTTCTGCACAACATATTATGTCACAATCTGACTTTTAAGTAAGATAATAACAAGAGCATTCCACACATATATAATGATTTCCACATTACTCAAGAAGTACAATCATTACAATGTGAACAGTAAAGCACTGCTAGCACCAACAAAAGCCCTTTAATGAGAAGCAGCTTTAACAATGTGCACCAAAAGGAGCATTAACAAGAGCACCAGAGATAGGTGTATCAATATTCCAACACAATTCTACAATACACTGATAATCTCAACCAAGTTCTCATATACCAGAAATAACCAAAGGAGGTGACGTGATACAAACAATTCCAGAAGTGAAAAATATCGAGTATTCTACACTTACAGCACGATTAGATTTCATAATCCTTGCAGCCAAATCTGGATTCTCCAACAAGGACTTACTTTCTTGAATTACTCTCTGAGAAATAGAAGGTTGTCGAGGACCAAAGAAGGTTCCATAACTGGAAACATGTACTATAAGATTAATCGGACTAAAATCTCAATATCAATTGAAGCAAGCAATTCTTAACCCTCTTGCCGAAAGAAGCAAAAATATCAAATTTACAATAGCATCCAACAATGGACGCAAAGAAAAAGGTCAACTTGTCAAAATCATAACCATGATAAAAGTGAGCTACAAGTTACAACCTAAATCCATCCATGTTATGGTTCAAAAGAAAAAAGATGAATTTAAAGCTTCATTGCCCAATTAGGTCAGAGCTCTGGTCTCGATAAAACAAGACCATGGAAGACCACAGAAAAACGCTACTTGTCGAACAACATATAAGAAGCATAAACTTATTAAAATCTTGCCACACAAATAAATGCTTACTTGTCTTTGCGAAACCCATTTATTCTGTCTCGGGAGCCAGCATCTGTAGTTCCCAATTCCTTCTTCATCTGCTTTCTAATTGACTCTTTTAACCTTTGTCTCAGTTCAAGATAGTCAAGCTCCTCCTGAGTGGGCTGGTGAGTTTCTTCTTCATACTCATCTTCACCAACTTCTTCATGTTCTTGCTCGTCACCATCCTCCTCGTACTCATCCCAGTCTTCATATTCCTACATAAACAGAAAAACATATAAACGAAAGCCATTAAATTGATACCATCATTAGAGCTTTTAAAAAAATATAAATAAAATGGACCTGTACAGTTACTCACATCTCTTTTATAATCTCCCATTGCACTTTAGATCAAAAACTGTGCAAACAAAAGAAAAAGAGATTAATGCAGCAAACTGAAAATCTTCAATGAAAAAGACTAATAAGATCAGAAAGCATGTCTAGATGTAAGAATATTATTTCATCACACCTACAACACCAAATTAGATATTACCGTATAGAAAAAAATATCAGAATGTAAAAGATTTCGTATATATCGTAATTAAAGGATATTGCTTTTGCATCATTTTCTGCTTCTCCTTTTCCGTGTTCAGAGTGTTATTGGTTACACACATGAGTTTTGCAGCGTCTTCAAAATCCCAAAATCTCCATTAACACGCACGTTCAAATATATACATAGATGTAGCCATACATAACATATATACATATAGATACGTAATGGAGAAAAAGGGGGAAAAAAAGGAGTTCCTCATAAGAAATACAGATGTAAATCTGATCAGACACACCTCTAATCTTCATGGAACAAATAATACCAGAAAAAAAAACAAAAAAAAAAATTAAAAACAAAACGATTAAAGAAGGTTCAACTGATTGATAGCTCGACAATAATCAAATAAATTGCAGCACCACTTTCCTAAAAATCGAAAAAAAAAAACAGTAAAAAAAAAAATCCGAATGCCAACGCCGCGATCAAGCAAATTTGAAAGAATTACTACAGAAATCAAGAAAAAAAAAAGACAAAATATTTGCACAGATCGGTGTTAATTACCTTAAAATCGAGAAAACTGGAGCAGAAAAGCCGAGATCGATCGTATGGGCTTGTGGATCTGAAATTACGCCGGCGTACAGGAGATGGGATATAAGAAGGTCAGCGGATGAGAAATTTGGGGAAATCCTTGCCAATGAAGTGTTGAGATACAGCACCGCGTAGGGCGTTCCGAAATACCGATAAAAGCAAGGGTCTACGCTATCGTGCGCGGGGGTTCCGAGGATAAGATATGCGCAGCCAAACCGGTATTTACTTCCGGTTTAGTACGTTTCTGCAGCATGTTTCTTTTTCGTGTGTTTTGATGATAAAAATAGTACGTAGCCGGAGACAAATATATGTTTGTTATGAATTATTTGTTATAAAATAATATATGTGAATGACTATTTTGCCTTCGATGTAATTGTATTATTACGGTTGTGCCATCAGAAGTTTTCTATAAATAGGAGCTTCAGTTATAATGAAAATCGTACCTAAGAGAAACATTTTTTCTATTCTCTCTCTTTCTATCTAGTTTTTTAACACGTTATCAGCACGAGTCTCTGCCTTATAGAGCTTGATTTGTAATATGACGAAAGTATGCTCTACAGTTGCGTCTTATAGACGATCTTCTGTATCAGAAATCGAAATATTATAAAATCATTATTTTCTCCAAAATAACTTCAGATAAGAGATTGTGTGAGTTATTAACTTAAGTTGTTTTCTTATAATCATGTCTCGAGTACAATGACTTTCTTAAAAGCAAAAAGAAAAGAAAAATTGAGATGACAAAGCTACTCGTCGGCAACCTCAAGCCGCTATGAAGTCTGGCCGCCCTCATGTCTGTAGCCAAATTGAGCCACCACCAGATTTTAGTTTCAGATTCCGAGAGCTGTGACGCCATCCTGGTGTTGTTTACGGGGAGCCACCGAACATAGGTAATTGTATGATGTGGAGATCTTTAGACGAAGTGATTCTATTATGGTAAGTAAATTAGCTTAATAAGAGGGAAAAATATGCTTACAAAATCTATCAAAATCTATGTAATATTGAAAGGGGAAAAGGATATATATAAAAAAAAAAAAAAAAAAAAAAAAAAAAAAAAAAAAAAAAAAAAAAAAAAAAAAAAAAAAAAAAAAAAAAGGAAGAAGAATATTCAAACCATACTATACTTTGAAATTTAAATTAATAGAAGGATATAAATTAAAGCTGATGAAAAGAAGTTACTTTGTTTGTTCCATGAATATCTGCACACTTGAAGTCCTGAAGATGATAAGATTTTGTGAGAAACAAATGAAAAATGAAATGGAAATTAGTGGTGGCCCTCAACGTTATCATTTATGGAGAGTTTCAAGGACATGAGATCAATCATGGAGAGTGGGGTTGTTTGAAAGACATGTGATCAATTATTTAAGGTAGGGACATGTAGAAAATTAAATAGTTAATAAAAAAAAAAACATCAGTGGCATTATTTTCATTGAAAGATTTATTTTCATAAAAAAAAAAGAGTATTATCAAAATTAGTTGTTATTAATTTTATTACGTTTGGGATAATGAAAGTTTCGATTTAAGACCAATATTTATATAGTTTATTAAATTATATTAATATATTGTCATTATGAAATGTTTGATTTTTTCTTGAGAAAATCATTTGGTACGTGAACACGTGGATATTTATGAAATGACCCATGTGATATGAAAATAAGTATGTGTGGCTACGAGGACCGGCCAGTGCGGCTCTGCCGCCAGCAAGTAATATTTGATGGTAGCCCACGGGTCAATTGTTAATAAAAAAATTATGACTGTTATGTGAAATGACCAAGTGTTGCAACTACTAGCAACTTATTATATTGAACAGCTAAATGAATCGGCCAGTAATAGTCGGTGAATGAAATGACAAGATGAAGGCCCTGTGCAACAAAATATGAATGGCTATATATATACATGGGCCGACCAGTGCGGCTCTGCCGCCGGTGACGGACAATACTAATTAGTGATTGCCAATGAGTAATATGGATGATAATTTGTATTTGGCCATGTGAGTTTACTAAAGTCCTGATCGCAAACGAAAATTATATGGACTAAACTGATCCTGAAGAAACAGTTGAGAAATTCTCCAAATTTATTAATGGAGAAACGAAAATTGATGTAGTACAAGAAGTTACTACATAATGAGTAAATGATATCGTGGTATAGTGGTACTGAAAGCTACCATACTATGATTAAGCAAAGTGATAAAATGGTACCTAAAGCTACCATTAGAAAATTGAACAATTTGAGAAAGTGATATCAAAAGCTACAAGTTATGGGTGATCACACGAAATGTTTTCTTAATATATTATATGAGTCTAAGGGACTATATCAGATCACAATGAGATACAAGATCCTATAGATATTACAATAAAGTGTTCCAGAAGAAGCACATATGGTAAATGATTGTAGTCACAAAGTACTACACGCTCATATTATGGAAAAGTGAAATTGATATTATTATTAATGAGAAACAAGTATTAAAAGTTCATATGATGGAAATATGGAGAAGAGGCAGTACATACTCGATAAATACGAGATACACAAATATTACATAATAGAACCCATAAAAGAAGGGTGCGTCTCGAGAGTATAAAACTCCGTAACTCTGCCACCCATTATTGTTATATGGGTTCATAATGAGAGATCTAAAGGATCAAAAGCTCTTTTTCTTTTGACCCCTTGTGTTTCCACATAATCTTGAAATGTGATGCATTCTTGGAGCTTTTTGATAAGCTCACCAGACGTATCTGCAAATTTGAATACTTCTCTTGTTGTAGGAGATATAAAGGTTTGATATACTCCTTGGTCTAAAAATCCAAGCAAACCAGAAAAAAAGCTATTAAAATTCAATAGACCTATGGGCTTGTTATGAAGTTTCAATTCTGCCCAAGAAGCAAGGATGAACATTGTCATTAGCATTCCATAACCGCCTGGAAGAATGATAAATGCATCGCTCTTGTTCGCCATATCCATCATACAATCATGAATAGAATGAGTTAACATCATGCATATGGAATCCTTGACGACCCTTGTTGAAGCTCTATGAAAAGGTATGATACTTTTCACTTCTATCTTAAAACATTTTCCAGCCAATAAAAGATTATCAAAGAAAGTGATGCTAGTCCCTCCATACAGTAAATTGATTTTTTGATTTCCCACATCCCTTACTAACTGACTCACAATATCAACATTTTGAGAAAAACTTACCAGTCTAGAACCACCAAGAACACATATGGTTTTGATCGGCTGAAGAAATTTATTACCTTGCGAAGGCTCTGAAACATCCATCTATTTGTTGATAAACTTAATTTTTTTCAAAAGTTTATAAGGCATACGATTATGATGAATGAATCGCTATTTAAATAGAAAGTCTTACAAAGCGATAAATAATTTTACTGTTTTCTTCTGACAATTGCAACTGACAGATAAGGTGTTGGGTTTTAAATAAATCTTATATGTCGGCAGCTATAAGATTCTCTGAAAATTACAGTGCAACTACTAAACTTCATTAGTACGATTTTTTTCATACTAACAAATACTAGTTTTACAAACTTGATCTTTTGAAACAATATTTTCGAGACTATAACGTTCCTCTTCATTTTTGAAACGAATCCATAGAGACAGAAGCTCACGATGCACATACCCACTAGGATGTGTCTCAAGAATCTGGTGGATCGTTTGATCCATAAACTCCTTACTCAATCCATCCTTTATAAATGCTATTTTATCTTCTCGATTTTTGGACACGAACCCCACTGATTTACATCGTGTGTCACAAGTCCATCGAGCACATTTGAAGCATCCACCTAATCGTTTTGCTCTTCGTTTCTTTGCAAAAGTACTCTTACCCATACCTAGCATATATTTGTATGAATTTGGAAACTCTCCCGACAATCGAACTTTTGCTTCAATCAACCATCGAATATCGCCTGGAATATGATTAATCATTAGCACCCTCAATCTTTCTATTCGAGACCGATAAATTCTTTTTATGATATTTACTGGAACAAAAGAATAATATTTACGGATATTTGAGAGTGCCAAATCCATATGTAAATTCGGACCTTTGTTCGTAAAGATTAAATGGATTGCATGATAATTTATAGAAATGATGCGTATGCTATACGACTCTAAAAACAAAGAGTATGTCTGACAGAAATATTAATACGCATGTGATACGGTTCTGAATTTAAATATTGTGGATCAGAATCTGCACTTGAAGTGCATTTATTACCGCCGAAAGATGATGTGATATGTTTAATGGGTCACAATGATTTATTGTG